TTCCATACAGCGGGCCGTTGCGATAACATGACACGTCATCACCATCATCACAGAACACACAATCACACAAACACAAACACCCACACAAACAGAAACACAACCACACACAACCACACACAAACAACGCACATACACAATACACTCTACCCACTACACGATACAATACAGCACTTCTCCTTCCCCCCCCCCCAATCCACCTCTCTCCTCCCTTCCTCCTTACCGTCTTCTTGGCCTCGCAAGCCACGCCAAGTGCCAGAACGGCAACAACAAGCACAACAGCCACTGCCTTCATCTCTTCGTTGGTCTTCTTCACTTTCTTCTTCTTTGTTGTTGTTGGTGTTAATGGAAAATTGGTGGAAGCTGTTCTCTAGTTTTCGTTGGCCTGGAGCTTGGTAGAGGAGGGGCGCAAAAGACCAAACACAACACCAAAAGCCACACACGCAACCCACAAACACTCAGCACCCACCACCCACTTGGCTTGCTTGGTCTTCTTGTTTGGTGGGCACTCGTTTGTTTGCCTCGCCAACAAGCAAGTGTTTCTCGTTCCTCCCTCCCCACACCCAACACACAGCTGCCCTTGCTTGGCTCTTTCACTCTCTCGCTCGCTTTTGAAGGCTGTGCCTTGCTCCCCCTGTGCATCAGCCACACACGCACCGTCTCTTTCTTCCGTTCGTGCCCCATTTTGGCGTGGCGGTGCTGTACGGGCGTCTTTGTTTGGTTTTGCATTGGTGTGTGTTGTGGTTCACATCATCACGTCATCACCATCATCGGCTGCTGCTGTGCCGTGCCACCTTGTTCAAGAGACCAACACCACGCGCGCCAGTGATCGCTGCCACCACCAACACCAACAGCAATAGCAGCCTGCAGAGCACCCATACGCGACCCCCCCCCCCCCCCACACACACACACGCACACGCATACACATTCACACACACACATAGCCGTCATCATGTTCAAGCGGTTTTCCACGCGGCGGAAGACAAAGGCAAAGAAAGGCGAGGAGGCCGCCGCCAAGGAAGACTCCGTGTATGGCATGACCACAGGCTCAAGCAGCACGCTCCCACCAAACCTGAGTGGCGGCGAGATGCAGGCCATGCTCCGCCAACAGAGCAAGCGCGAAAAGAAAAAGGACAAGAAGAAGGACAAGGCCGCAAAGGCCCACACAGACGGCAGCGCCAGCAGTGCCAGCAGCGCCAGCACGGGCCAGGGAGCCGCGTCGGCCAGCACAGCCAGCAACGGCACAAGCACAGAGGGTCCCCTCGAGGGCACCTCGCTGTTCAAGGTCAAGTACATGGGCGCGGTGCAGGTGACGGGCAGTGCCGGCGACCACGTCGTTGCTGCAGCCGTCATCAAGGTGCGGGATGAGAAGCGCGAGCCCATCAAAGCCTTCATCATCCTGCGTCAGGACTCGTTGGTGGTGGCCACGCGCAAGACTGGGGAGGTGCTGCAGAACCTCGACCTGGCGTGCATCAGCTACACCAGCGTCAACCCAGCCGACCCAAAGCAGTTTGCCTTCATCAGCCAAGCGCGCAGCGGGCGCCTCTACTGCCACGTTTTTCAGAACAAGGACAAAGGCAGCGACGCGCCCCACGCCATCAAGGCCGCCATTGCAGAGTACACCCAGACCGTGTCCCAGCTGCTGACGCTTCGGCGCGGTGCTGGCCCTGTGCTCGGCAACTCCGCGCCATCATCATCGTCGGCAGCGTCCTCGGGGTTTGCACACAGCACATCCATGCGCGTGTCATCTGGGGGGCCATCACGCCCACCGCCATCAATGTCGCAATCGTTCCGCGCACCGCCGCCACAGCAACGACAGCAGCAGCAGCAGCAGCAGCGACAACCACAACCACCACCACCACAGCAGCAGCAACAGGGTGGCGGAGGCGACGGCGTATCACGCGGGCGGTCGTCGAGTATGAGTGGCATGAGCATGCGTGCGCGGTCGCGATCACGGTCCGGGTCGTTGTCGGCGCGCGTGCCGGCAGAGACGCTGCCGCCCGAGGGGAAGACGTTTGTGGCGGTGTATCTTGGGTACGAGATGGTGGCGCACCTGGCCGGGAAGATGGTGTGCATGACGGCGGTGAAGCGAAATAGCGACCGGTGGGCAACCATCAAGCAGCAGCGGCAGCACGCGGACGGCAAGAGCGTGTCCCTGCAGGTCACCAACTATGCGATCCGTACCATCGACAAGCGCAGCGAGGAGCCCGTGTTTGCAGACTTTATCAAGCACGTGTCGTTCACGTGTGTTGCGCGCAAGACGCAGGCGTATGAGTTGTTCACGTACATTTCGCACGACGAGCGGCTCAAACGCACCATCTGCCATATCTACCGTGTCACCCCGAACATGGGCGACTCAATCTGCTCAGCCATCTCACAGGTACGGCAAGGGGGAGACATTGTGTGTGTGTGTGTGTGTGTGTGTGTGTGTGTGTGTGTGTGTGTGTGTGTGTGTTGTTGTGTGTGTTGTTGTGTGTGTTGTTGTGTGTGTGTGTGTGTGTGT